TCCAATGTATGATTTTGCATAAAAAAAATGCTACGTGATTTGAATTTTTTTTGACGAGTAAGTGATTTAAAAATACTAATGTTTATATGAGTAATTTTTATATCTCAAATCTTTTTAAGTAATCATGCATCACATAACCTTCATCTAGTACTCGTAATAATAAAAAAGTTAGTACTTAGGGCATGTTCTGATTTATTGAACTGAGCTGAACTGAACTTAACTGAACTGAATTGAGCTGAACTGAACTAATTTAACTGTATATGAGAGAAGAAAATTAGGAATTGAACTGAACTGAACTGATCTGATCTGAATTATTTATGAGAGAAGGAAATTAGGAATTGAACTGAGCTAAACTAAACTGAATTAAATTGAAATTAAGCCGAAGAGAACAAGTCCTTAGTAACCCCTAATGTTTTTTTTTTCCACAGTGAATTGAGTCACAAAAATGATGAGATTCACTGTACTTTATGGTGTATCATTGGTAAGATGATATTTATAGTATTTCAATTAGCTACTCTACTCTACTCTTGATGAATTAATGATCACCTAAATACTATATTTAATTTTCTTCTAAGAAAATACACATGACATTTATTTTTTTATTTTATTTTTTGAGAAAGACGTCCCTGAGGACGAATTATTATTAGTATTCAGAACTTCATATAATATTGGGTATCCCGTTTTGTTAAAATTAATTTTCAAACCAGATTTTTGGGTGCAAAAATAACAGAATTATAAGACATTTATTATGAAGATTATAATTAATTTCATACGTAAGAAATGTTGGAAGTTCCTTCAAAAAAATTAAAAAGAAATGTTGGAAGTTCCTTCAAAAAAATTAAAAAGAAATGTTGGAGGTTTATCAAATTTTTTAGAAAAATCAAGTCTACATCTGCAATATTAAGTTGCCTCAGAATAATCAAAACTTATTCTTAACAATTAACTACTATGCATTATTGATAAAATTGCTTTCTTTAAATGATAAAAAATCAGATCTCAATGAGTTAAGGCACTACATGTTTTATTGACATGTTACCCTTATAAATTATCTACGACCCCGTAATCGCTTGCTTACGTAAACTCTGTAAAAGGTACGCTAATACTATTTGATGCACGATAATATCTCTACAGGAATATAGCTCATTTCCATCGGAAATACCTAATATTCTGTCGAAAAACTCATTTTCGACGTAATTCTATCAGAAAAAGTTGGACGGAAAAGACCTTGTTGGGAAAACATAATTTTCTGATTGAAATTCCGTCAAAAATGAGGTTAACGGGAGAAAAAGTCATCGGATAAAATTTCTTTTAACGGATAAATTCCGTTGAAAAGTTCTAATAGATTGGTTTCAATTGTATAAATCTGTCAAAAAATACTAAAAAATAAAACAACACCACCCCCATCCCCAAACCAAGTCCCCACCTGCCCAATCGTTGGACCACCCCCACCCAACTAGCTCCCAACCCACCACATCACCACTTTTATCCCAACCCACCTTCCATCCCCACCTAAACCCACCACCACCCACCCCTAATCCTAAGCCCATACCCAGACCCACCCCAAACACTAACCCCATACCACCACCACCTTACCCTAACGCTAAGCCCACCACAACCCAAAAAACAAAAAAACTCACCACCCACGACCACGAACAGCCAAATCCACCAATGCAACACAAAAAGTTGCAAAAAAAAAAAAAAAAAAAAAAAAACCTCAAAAACTAAAGGAAAAAAAAAACACGTAAAAAGTTTTGTGTGAGAATATACTTGTCATTTGAAAAAAAAAAAACACTTTACAAACAATAATAAAATATGATGTTACAAATGAGCAAGCGAAAAAACAACGATGATATATCCGATATGAGCATTCAAAATTCATCTCCCGAAAGGAATAATATTCATCACTACTAACATCATCAACATTATACGGAGTAGATAAAAAAAACAAACAATTTTAGTTTTTTTAAGGAGATTATAAAATAGTTAAACGGATTGGGTCCGGAGATCCAGATTCGTTGTTTTCAATAGGTTCCGAATCCGATCGGATTCGTCGGGTCCAAAATTTGAAGACCCATATTAGTGAAAATTGGATTTGGATCCACGGATCCAGGTCGGGTCCAAGTCCACTGTCATCCTTACTTCAAAGTCTGCCACATCAGCTTTCCACTAACTTTTCAATACTTTTTTATTATTCAGATTCATACAAGATTTTCTCTAAATTCACATATTATTCCAAGACTCACTCCAGACTCATTTATCCTTTTTAAAATATATATATTTTTTTTTTGTAAAATATCTTTAATTATTTTTTTAAAAATTATTGTAAACTTATTTTTCAATGACATTAAGTGTTAGGATAACATACTTCTTTATATTTGCAACACGTTTTTTAGACTTGCAATGTTAGGAGCTTATTAGTGAAGGTAAATAAGGCATAATAATTTAACACAAAGATTAGAGAAGGATTAAACATTATGTGTAAAAATTATTTTGAATAATTTATCCATTTACAATATATAATTTAGATCTCAAAATACATGCTATAAGATTGTATTACAACTAACAAAGTAAGTAAATAAAAACGAAGGGAGTAAAAAACAAAAGTTCATGTTGTTTACAAATAAAAGTGATGGAAGTATTTTGTGACAAACTTTATAAGGAAAGCTGGAAAGCAGTGGAAGAATTTTAACGATGAATCAACGCACGACTAAACCGATTAATAAGCACATTTATAGAAGCCAATTAGGCGATTATTAGTACATACGAAGTACATTGGTAGTCCATTTGGACATTTAATTAAGAATTTAAGTAAAACATCAAAGAAATAGGTAGATAATCTAATTTATTAGTTGACTAATTCAAGGAGGATACATATCATTTTAGATTTTGTTTAATGTTTCCCTAAAAAGAATATTACGGTTATGAATGAAGCTAAGCTACTCTTTAACGTTATCCCATGACCAATTTTGCAAGTGGTACTCTTCCATAAGAGGCAAACCTTGTAACATCTCATCAAGATCAACGTTAGAAACACCACCATCACCATTATTGTCAAAATTATAACCAACATTAGCATTGCCTCCAAGGCATACACCACCGCCATCTCCGGCTCGTGAAGTAGCCACCACACGTGATTGTTGTTGTCGTTGTCGTTGTTGTTGTGGTTGTGGTTGCTGTAGTGGTGGTGGTGAACTACGCTTCCTCTCTTTTTGAAGAAAAGTATCGTAGGAAGTATTTCCTATCCATGCAACAGAAGAGTTAACACCCGTAAGACTTTGTACCATAGATTTGAAGTCCTTAGCTTCAACCTTGACACGACGGGTTTCGATAAGTGTTACCTTCGTAGGCCTAACACATTCACCATTTCCTTCCATAATAATCAAGCAAATACAAGTATTTTGTAAAACTTCTAATGCTTAGTATCTCTTTTTTCTTTGTTTTTTTCAGAGGTCAACAATATTTGCTAGGTATTTATATGGAGTAACATTTTATCGTAACGCGCGTGCAAGTTTGATTTGTCACATATATAAGCCGTAGTTTGAAATAGGGAAGACTTTGAAGTTGATGATGAATTGACCAAATTTTGGAAGATGAAGAATAAAAGAGGAAGAAGCTAGGTGATGATAAATGAGAGGAGTCTTCTATTGGTACATAACTATTCATGATTCAACAACCATGCAAGTTGAAATAAGGTTGAAAAGGCCAGCTTTTTTTTTTGGGTTTATTATCTAATATACTTGGTTGATATTTGTTGCTTCACACTAATCACTAGAACAGTAGTACGAGTTCCTATATATTTTTATGTTGCATGCAATGCTTGGATGATTGCCTGATTGGCCTTGGTTCAATCGTACAAGAAGGAGAAAATTCCCTCTCATAAAATAAATTTTAAGCCGTCTAAAATTATACGTAAATATACTTTTTTTCTTACAACAGAAATATATGCATACAACAAGGAGAAAATTCACCCTCATAAAGTGAAATTTAAGCCGTCTGAGATAATATATATATATATATATATATAACAGAAACATATGCATACATGCGACACTAAAAAGTAACGTGTTTTAGGACTTTTAGGAATATTATTCATGCAATCATGCTAATTGAGTTGTAAAGCTTGTGAGAGATTCGAACTTGATTTATTTAATGCGTGATCAAAACCCAACTTGAGTTGAGCTGACTTGAAACTTTAATATGTACAAGATGACGAGAGCAAGATTTAGCTTGACTTGAGAAGCTCGCGACAACTCGATATTTTTATTTTTATTTTTTAAAGATAAGTAAATATTGTTATGTTAAGTGCAAGTGTTAGCATTATTTGTTCCACATTGAAAAGAAGCGGACTATTTTTTTATTGTCAATTGATTTTAGGATGAAACCTCGCTTTGGGCTTTGGTAGTGAGTTTTTGGATCTCTCTCCCTAGTCACTCCCCCATTTGTTATAACAATAATCCCCCATTCGTTATAACAATAAGGCATGAAACAACCTAACTATGACACTTCCATCATGAGCGTATAGTTTTTGATGCTCTACCGCCAATACTACACACAAGGATTGATAAATCAATTTTTTTTTTTTTTTTAATGGAACATTCTTTCATTTGGACTTATTCAAAAAACAAAACAAATGACTGAATGAAGGCGGCCAAGTAGCTTTGAGACAACTAGTTATTCTAGCAAGAGGCAGGTACCTTCTTGCATAGTTAAACCGAGCGATGAATTGTATATTTTAGCTTTGAGCAAGAACAGTAGGGTGAATGATATAATCAAATTTTAATCGTCGTCTTTTCAAGAATCTCTTCATGTACCCGGCAGATTAAGGGAGGGGGCAGCGGATATGTTCACTGCCGCATGCATCTAGGCATATGACCAAAGCTTGCTTCGCACAAAAACTTCAGTTTCGAAATAAAGAAAACTTGCTTGCTAGTTGCTAACACTGCCCCATCCACACACTAAATTTCTAGTTGCATGCGAAATTACCACATCAAAGAGCCAAAAGTAGTCGGTTTATATCATCATTCATCCAGTTTTACGCAAAAAGGATCACTGCACTGATATGTACACTTCTTGATGGAGTACACTCAATGTACTCAAAAGTTAGGATGAAGCATTAAAAGCAAAATAAACCTCATATGGATTTGGGAGGAATATGAATCCTACTAGTTAAAATTAATATTATATTAGTACCTATGTCATTAGTCATCTCTATTTGATTGATATGTAGCGATTGGTGCCATGTTTAGACCAGCGATCCTTTAAATCCACAGGATTAGAGAAATCAAAACCCTCCGATGCTAGCCCACTTAGCAACTTTGAGAAGGCACTACCGCTCATTTTCCGACCACCCAAACGAGCAAATTTCTTGTTAGGGACAGGTGGGAGAGGATAAGCTGACATGGTGGTGGTACAGCAAGATGACTGCCAACCCCCGTTCCCCCACTTGTAACACTGCCGAAATACCCCCGTACATGAGCAACCAGGGGCTGGCATAATGGTGTCATCATAATCAACTCGATTCAAGCCCACATTTTGACCATCCCAGTCATTCTTCACCTTCAAGTGACCAGAAATCTGTTTCTCCCTCGGCTTCCTTGCACATCTCTTGCTCTCCTTCACCTTCTTTGTCTGAGGCAGCTTGTTACATTCAGATGGAACTGCAGTTCTACACAAAGCATCAAGTATTTGCATTTGTTGTGTGACGAAAGGGAGATCAGCCAACCTACTGGTTCCACATTGAACTCCAGGACTCAAGGGTTCCCTCATAGAGTTTTGAAGGGTATGGTAGGCATTGTTTCTTTCTGTAATAGCTTCATCACGTTCTTTGATTGCCAAGTTTCTCTGTGAGACTGCTAATTCTCGCTCTTCCAAGGCCTTTTTCTTTTCAAGCAAAGCTATTTTCATTTCCTCAACTGCAGCATCTCTCTCAGCCATGATGTTCAAAAGGTTCCTGTTCATATTCAAAGCATTCTGCTCCTTAATCTGATGCTGGTATGCAATCATATTCCACTGTAATAAAAAAGAGATGAGTGTAACAACAGCATTACTATTCAAAACTTGTATTCGTCCAAACTCTATTTTAAGGAGGGGAGACTGGAAACTTTTAAGAGCAAGAGAGATCTAGTTATGGTTGCTTACCGGAGAATGATCCCTGAAATTATCACACCTATGCCTTGCACCTCCTTGCTGCCCCCCAGCATCCATAGAATATCAATAAGCAAAGTTATTGCTAACCTGAAGTAATTTGTTTCAAGGAGGAAGCCAGATTTTGTTCCAGATTACTGATGCACACCAGCATTTTAAGAAGAAAATTAGATTCAAAATATTACAACAACAAAAGAACAAATCAGGAAGAAAACTTTGTATTTGCCAGATTTTCCACGTTGCATTGGCTTTAAAAAAAATAAATAAAAAAAACCTAACACCCTTATGGTGAGGGGCATCACGATTAAATTTCCAAGCAAGGGGCTGTGTTCAATACAGAGGAAAATATTTTAAGCAAATTTTACTCCTATGGAAAGTATAACTCTATGAAATTAGGTTACAAAACTACAACTTATATTGTTTGCTTCTTAGCTTCCTTGCCACATAAGATACATAGAAAAGGGAAAAGACTAAATGGAGCCATGGAGGGGAGGAACTAGGGAAAAAATCAGAAAAATGTGGCAATTCTTCCTTGAAAAAGGAAAATCGTTTTCACCGGAGGGAAGAAAAAATAAAAAACACTCAACCAAATCTAATGGTTGTCAACCCCATAAACTAAATGGAAGAATATGGGGAAACCAATTTTCCTATAAGAAATTTCCTCCCATCAACAGTCTAGTTGAGCGAGTTTTTTTTTCTTTTTTCTTTTCTAGCCTACTAAATTATGCTTCAGTTGGGCATGCCATTTTTATTAAAGTGATACGGTCATGCTTCATCAAATTAACATCTCATGCTCATCTAATAAGAAACCTTAAAGCTATCTTAGACTATGTTCACTTGGTAAAGCAAACCAATGGCAACATATGGAGTAATCTTTAGACTCATTACGAATTATCACAGGACAGAGAACTTCAACATGTTAGACATTACTTACACTTAAATGATGTAATTCTAACATGTGGTCTTGAGCACCTGCTGTCAACTTTGATCCCTAATCTGATGCCTCAGTTGGCATAAGCAACAATAACTTTTGTTCTACCACTAGATATTGTATAGATTCAAAATGGCAAGAAAATTAAACAAAAGAATAGAGGTAGGCAACAGAAGCAATGACTTCATAAAAATGTTATTAAATATATGCCGGCCTTGCATATTAATTGCTTAAGTTCTTAAATCTTACTGTATACAAGCAATGACCACACTTTCCGGAAAAGAAATAACAAATTGACTTGAATTAGATGTCAAAAACAATAATCTTGTAACAACTAACTCATTTTTCTATTTTAAATATCAACCTCTTGCAAGTAAATTAGACTGCCATGATACTAGCTTCACATGTTTTGGTAACACAGTACAGAATCCAGGGACCTAGTAATCAGTGGAGACCAGTGTAATTATGAAACAGCTCAAAGAAAGCATGACACTGACGAATAGACATTGAGAAATTCATGGGAGTACTTGTTTTAAATCGCTAGGAAATAAAACAAGTCAAGGGAAAAACCAGATGAAAAACTCAGTACAAGATCGCAGATATCAGGGAGACAGGGACTATTACGACAGCAAATGATTTGGAGGGGGTAGGGGGGGGGGGGGGGGGACATCTGTTTTGGACTCGATGAATCAATCAAATATCTCTTAGACTACAAAAGCTATCGGGCGTGAGGTGAAATAGTGGATCTTACCAATTTCATTGAAGAAACATTTCTGTCCAACTCAAACTTCGGAAAAAACGATTTCGTGATCAATGACCAACAAAATTCCTTTTTTATCCTAAATCTAATATGCAGAAACCAGCCAAAATTCTACTTTTCTTAAAATTGCAATTTCCACTCCAGTTAAAAAGACCTTATACACAAAGGCTGAGTAGTAGCAAAAGTTGTCAACTTTGTCATGCTCTAGAGTCTAGATCAGATTTTACCAACAACTAACAAGTTAATAAATTATTAAATTTACCTATTCATAACATCTTATTAAAATGAGGATGGGTTAATTTATAACCTAATATCTTGCAACCTCTCGACATAGAAATGTGCCCTATTAACATGGGACGGGTAAAATTAATCAGAGAACAGAACATTTAGTAGAAGAAAGAACTAGTCCAACAAAATTCGTTGTCAATAACATCAAATAAACATGCAAAAAAGCTAAAAAGGAAGAGCAATATATTGGCCAGTACTCCGCGTTTATCCGCCATTATTTTTGTGTTGTTCAACAAAAAGGAAGAGCAATGAATAACCGTATAGGCATTAGGGGTGAGCAAACCAGGTACCCGGTCAAAATTTTAGGACCCGGACTTGGAATTGGTTAGAACCGGGTCCTAAAATTCGGAACCGGAATTGGAATTGGTTAAACCGGGTCCTAAATTTTAGGAATTGGAATTGGAACCAATGGGTACCGGTTCCGGTTCCGGGTACCCACTTATGTATGTAATTGTTAAAATATAATACAAATTATAATTCTTATTTTAGTTAGTATCATTATTAGTGTTTAATACTTATATTTATATATGCATTAAGCTATTTGTATTCATGTTAGGTATTAATAATACTTTTTTTATTGTACAAATTAGATACATTTAACATATTTTTATTATTTAAAGTTTATTTAATTTAGGATATATTGGGTAACCGGGTACCCAACCGGTTCCGGGTCCAAAAAGTTGAGAATTGGAATTGGAATTGGTTATAACCGGGTCCTTAATTTATTACCCGAAATTGGAACCACCGGGTCCAATCTCGGTTCCGAACCTGCCGGTTCCTAACCAGTTCCGGTTCCAATTCCGGGTACCCGGAATTTTTGCTCACCCCTAATAGGCATATAGCCGTATAGGACTAGGGTATTACCTATACGAACGTAAGAAGGGTTTCTACTATATAGTTGTTATAGGGTACAACTATACGAACATAATGCAATATTATTATTATTATTATTATTATTAGGAAATTTTGATTTTTACCACCTTCAAATAACGACTTTATTGAATTTACCACCTCCAAAAAAAAAAAGATTTACTTTACCACCTTATAAAAAAATTAAACATCAGTTTTCCCACCTAAGCCTAACTCTGGTGACGAAAATCACCAGTGGGGTCCGTCATAACAGCTAGTTTTTGAAATTATCCCCAAATTCTCTCGATTTTCCTCCTATTTAAACAACCTTCTTCATTTCCACATCAAATTGTTGAAGATTGAATTTTTTTTTTTGCGATTTTCTTTACAAATCCTTAATTTGGGTAGTAAATGAGCCAAAGTTCATCTTATAATTTGCTTATAGCTTGGTTTTTGGTCTGATTTGTATCCTTAATGGCTTAAGGATTGCAAACAAAAACGTGTTTGATCTTATAAATACCGAATCCGTGGATAAGCAACAACAATTACTCGTACCTGAGCTGCTTCAATTTCTGTTTCCTGAACCTGATTGTTATATGACAGAGGTTTCAGAAAACAATCGGCGACGAAGAATATATTCGACTTCTGGAAAAAAATTGTTCTCGTAATTCGGAGGTAGTGTGACCATTTCTACTGCCAAATTTTCATTGAAGTTAATTGTATTTGAACACAATTACCATAATCTAACCCTAATTTTACTGCCTAATTGAAATATCAAAAACCCCCAAATTAATTTACACTTACATGAACCCTAATTATTTACAATATGAAATTGGGGTTGAATTAATAACAGAAAACATGCAATTTCAATTATACTTAGCAGTTGTAACATAATCACGCAAACAATTACAAAAAATTACAACAGAATTCATGAAAATTGCTTACCTTTTCGCTGTTTGTCGTCGAATTGTTCAATTGATTCAGGGCCGAGTACAATCTTCAATAATTTGATAATTTGAGGATGTGGGATTGTTAAGGATCACCCAAAATCAGAATTTGTGAAGAAAATGGCAAAAAAAAACTTCAATCTTCACGAAATAGATGTAGAAATGAAGAAGTTAGGTTTAAATCAATGGGAAATCGGGAGAATTTGGGGATAATTTCAAAAACTAGCTGTTATGGCGGGCCCCTCTGGCGGTTTCCGTCACCGGAGTTAGGCTTAGGTGGGAAAACTGATGTTTAATTTTTTTATGAGGTGGTAAAGTAAATCTTTTTTTTTTGGAGGTGGTAAATTCAATAAAGTCGTTATTTGAAGGTGGTAAAAATCAAAATTTCCTTATTATTATTATTATTATTATTATTATTATTATTATTATTATTATTATTATCATCTATACTATTTATATTAAAGGGCGTTTCGAATCAAGTTCAAATGCCACGTGACACTCTCCCAACTTTATTTATTGGCTATTACTTTATGTCATTACACATCTAAAAATTTAGAAACACAATTTGTATAAGAATCAAACTCTTGACCACAAAGTTAATACAAACTCTAAATAAACCTGGTTCACACTAATTTATTGTGAACCACTAATATTAAAAAACACTATGGTTATTTTATTAATAAAAAATCACTATATCAAAATAAAGGTTATTACATTTAAATAAAAGTCATTGTGACATTATAAAATCTATATAAGAGGTTATTTTTTTACAAGAAATTTTTAATATATTAGTGAATATGAATAATAAGGATTTCCTAAAAAAATACAAAAATATGAACAATAAAGGTCATTACGTCCAATATAACATTGCATTTCAAATCACACAATTTTTAATAAAGGTTACTATGGTAATAATAAGGTTATTATGTTAAAATGAGGGTCACTATGTTCAATATAACGTCAGTTGCGTGTAGAGGTGTCAATTCGGCTAAATGGGTCGGGTTTGAGTCGGGTTAACTCCGGTCAGGTTAATTTATTTAAAAAATATTATCATAAATAAAATTAATTTATTTAAAAAAAAAACATTATCCAATGTATGATTTTGCATAAAAAAAATGCTACGTGATTTGAATTTTTTTTGACGAGTAAGTGATTTAAAAATACTAATGTTTATATGAGTAATTTTTATATCTCAAATCTTTTTAAGTAATCATGCATCACATAACCTTCATCTAGTACTCGTAATAATAAAAAAGTTAGTACTTAGGGCATGTTCTGATTTATTGAACTGAGCTGAACTGAACTTAACTGAACTGAATTGAGCTGAACTGAACTAATTTAACTGTATATGAGAGAAGAAAATTAGGAATTGAACTGAACTGAACTGATCTGATCTGAATTATTTATGAGAGAAGGAAATTAGGAATTGAACTGAGCTAAACTAAACTGAATTAAATTGAAATTAAGCCGAAGAGAACAAGTCCTTAGTAACCCCTAATGTTTTTTTTTCCACAGTGAATTGAGTCACAAAAATGATGAGATTCACTGTACTTTATGGTGTATCATTGGTAAGATGATATTTATAGTATTTCAATTAGCTACTCTACTCTACTCTTGATGAATTAATGATCACCTAAATACTATATTTAATTTTCTTCTAAGAAAATACACATGACATTTATTTTTTTATTTTATTTTTTGAGAAAGACGTCCCTGAGGACGAATTATTATTAGTATTCAGAACTTCATATAATATTGGGTATCCCGTTTTGTTAAAATTAATTTTCAAACCAGATTTTTGGGTGCAAAAATAACAGAATTATAAGACATTTATTATGAAGATTATAATTAATTTCATACGTAAGAAATGTTGGAAGTTCCTTCAAAAAAATTAAAAAGAAATGTTGGAAGTTCCTTCAAAAAAATTAAAAAGAAATGTTGGAGGTTTATCAAATTTTTTAGAAAAATCAAGTCTACATCTGCAATATTAAGTTGCCTCAGAATAATCAAAACTTATTCTTAACAATTAACTACTATGCATTATTGATAAAATTGCTTTCTTTAAATGATAAAAAATCAGATCTCAATGAGTTAAGGCACTACATGTTTTATTGACA